TCTACAATATTTTTAAATTAGATAGGAACTCATATTTTCATATTTCTTAACATTAAAAATTTCTAAACTTTAAGTTGGTCTCATTAACTAATATTTTTTCTAATTTGGACTACTATATTTATAAATCAAAATTTTAGCAACTCCTAAAGAAACTCATATGCATTATCTACTTATGTATCTACTTATGGCATTATCTACTTATGTTGGTTTTTAAAGATTGAATGGTCACTTGAGGACAAGTAACATCTTAAGTTTATGAAATTTTAATACACCTAAAATATATAGTGTTTTTATACACATTTTTATACCTATTTTTGAGATATTCCGCTTTAATGAAAGGTATTTATGTATTTTTCTTGTATGTACAATCAAATGGATGTAAAATGCTAAAAGGAGTGAAAAGGGGTGAAATTTGGAGCAAAAATGATAAAATGTGCAAAAATGAAGTGGGGCGCCTAAGTGCCAAGTACCTCGTGCTTAAGTGCCAAAGTTAGTTACTTGAAGAAATATTAATTGGAGTGGGATTTTAAAGAGGTGTTTGAAGCAACCCTTGATAAAAATGTGGGAAATAGCCCATGGTCACAAAAATTCATTCAATTGGCTTTTGAGGAGATAAATTTTAGAAGATTCATTGAATGAAGACGCATTTCTTAAGAGACACCAAGTCACTCATTAGATTTTTATAAGAAAAGACTTAGAATTTCCAAAAGAGGGGGCCAACAACCAACCACCAAAATTTACAACTGCAGCCGCCGGCCACCTTTATTTTATTTTATATTATTTTGAGTGATAGTTTGTATTATGAGAGAAGGAAGAGAAATTAAAGGAACTTCAATACATTTAGTGGAGAGAATTTGAGATAAGTGTTTAAATTTGTGACTACACTTAGCTTTTAATTTAGATTTATTGTTTGTGTGCATGATTTATACTTTTAAACTCATGTGTGACTGTGTTTTCTCCATGGATTCAGAGTAGTTTTTATTATCATTTTCCTTAAAATGATAAGTGATTAAATGTTTAAAGAAAGTTGTGTGAAGTATTAGACTTCAATGTTGGAAGAAGTTGTGAAGATTCAAGACCTTGCACTTCATTTACTTCTTGATTTGGCTAATTAAGATGTTAAAATCTGTTGTGAAAACATGTAAGATCCAAGATGATATTGTCTCAGTCAACAAATGGTTGGAATCACATATTGATTTCATGAATGAGAATGTAGTTCATGGGGTTGAATGCAAATAAATAGGAGAATATATTTTCAAGGCTGTAGAATTAGAGGACTTTAGAGTGATAGGCTAAAGCCCCTTAATTGATTTATAGTTTTAGGTTTTGATACAAAATGTTAGCCCCCCAGGTAGAGAGAGAAGAGGGAACTCTAGAGTGGGAGCTAGTATCTTCCCTGCCTAGCCGGTCTTAAAGACTATTCAAACTATAGAATAACCAATGTTTTTCATAGCAACTTTAGAAAGGGTAAAAAATATTATTGCTCTTATTTGGCACACCACATTTAACATACTTCCACAACTGAATTTCTTTGTTTATCACTGATTCATGATAAAGAAAAAGATATTTTACTTATATTGTCTTCTTCTTGCAAGTATTTTAGTTAAGTTAATTAGTTATTTACTTTATTTTAAATTATCAACAATTACAAAAAAAATCAAACTTTTATTCCTATTATAGCACCTTAAGTTTGAGTAAGAATATATATTGCTAAGTATTTTGTTATATAAAACTAATCCTTCCCCTGGGTTCGATATTCGGGACTTAATCAGAAAGTTTTATATTACTTGATAATGATATGTATACTTGCGTAATATCTCATATTTAAATATTATAAATATAATCACATACATCACATTTTACATCTCTATATATATAAAGCCGGGATCACAGGACAATGAATAACAATGGTGAGAGACAAGTATGAGAAGGGTAGTGCCGAGTGGTGGATGGCGACAAGCAAGAGAAGTAGACAACTACAAGTAGTCACATTTAAATAACGGCACATGGAGAGCAATAACAACAAGAGAGTGAGTGAGAATAGATTGTGGTTATCAAGCAACAAGTTGCAGTAGGTGGAGGGTGAGAATTACAACAGGTGGTGTGATGAGCAATGATGGTTATAGCGCTTATGCCAAGCGATGATGGTTGTTGCAACAACCACAAAGAGGTGATAAGTCATGGTAAGCAAGATTGGTAAGGGGTGTTAATAATGTTTTAGATTCACGAATGAAAAAATGCATGATTGGAAATTCTCTTGATCTGAGAGACGTGAGAGAAAAATAAACTTTTAAATTTTTTTAATAAATAAAATTGAACTTATTGCCTCCTAAAATTTGAAATTTGAGAAATTTTCTAGTTATTTATTTTCTTAGAAAAATATATCTAAAAACTCAGCTCTAAGAAAAATAACCCCACTTGTATACATGGACTTCTTAGTAATGTCTGTTGCAAACAAAATTAATTATAAACGACTTGAATTCAAACTTTAGTTTGACCTTATTAGAAATAAGGTTCAAACACCACTTCTTCTTCATGCAATGTCACTCCAATCAATGCTTTCAATGAGCTCCTATCATAAAATAATATCTCCCTTTACACTTCATGACTTTAATTGGCCACTGTCATAAAGTCCTCTTATCCTTGACATGCCACAACTTCATTTGATGTTGTTGTTAAGCTCACATCATGAAATCAATTTCTCCTTCACATGACACTACTTCTGTCAAATTCCTCGATGAACTCTCATTATGAAATCCTAATATTCATCATGTCATTGCTCTTATCGGTGGCACATGTGAACTTCCATATAGAAATCAACGTGTGTTCTCGTCAATGTCCTCTTGTTACGAATTTTTATTCAAAGAAAATATGTGAGAGTATTCTTGTGAACAACTGATCCTTATTTCAAACTAAAATTCGATCTTGGTTGAACTAGGTAAAACCAAATTCAAACGATTAGAACAAATTTTTCCAACAAAATACTTCAACATACAAGACATTATCACACATTGGATGTAGATTCAAATGAAATTAATTTTTAATTATTTTTTGATTTAAAAATGAATGTTAGTTTTGAATCCCACGATGTACCATGGGTCATGCCCAAGGATTAGAGCATTGGACGAATTGAAGGGTAGAAGTGTAAAAGAAAGAGAAAGAAGTAGATTGCCTAATAACACAAGTATTCTTGAAATAGATTCAATAGTCTCTTTTTGAAGAAATGAGCCCCCCTCCTCTTATAAATTCTAAAAAATGTCTAGTAAGTTACATATTTGCCTTTTTTTTTTAAATAGGAACGTTAAAAATGATTAATGTGTCATTACACCTTTACATATTTGTAATTGACTCTGGGTTTTTTGAATGATCGTAACCGTCATTGACACCATTTCACATTCATAACTATATGAAGTGGGGTATTAATGATTTACTGATGCTAACATTTGGGCGTCCGATAATCGTTCGGTTGAATAAATATCCTTCGGTTGGCTGGAAGGTCGTCGGACAACTTTCTTGAGAGAATCCCCTAAAGAGACCATCTTATCCTTATGATGAACTTAGATCACCAGGCAGAGGGCGTGTTACCACAAATTGACTGACAACATTTATTTGGACAAGAGGTTTTCGTAGAGGGTTAAGAAGGTGTTATAGGGAGCGATCATTGGTTCTCTTTATAAGGATCCTAGATATTGGTTGAGGGGTTAAGGACGCATGACTATCCATCAAATCATGTGCTTAAAATCTTCTTCGTTTAGATATACTTTCCTTTGGTCGACCCATGATTCAACTAAAAAGAATGATTCCTGAAGCCTTTATAGTTTCGCTAGTCTGATGTAGTCCTTTAGTACCTTCCTAGTGCGATCCGTTGAATTTGCAGGTGATTCGTGCGATCATATTCTTTATGTAATATATTTAGTTCTTCAATTTTCTTACTTCTTCAAAAGTGACAACTGCAATAAGAATAAAAAACTAAATAAAAAAAAATTATTTTTTAATTGCATAATAAATAATTCCAATAATCAAAATCCTTGAGTTTTTGTGCTGGTATTCCTTATAAATAGAGAATGAGGAGCACTTTCCCATCATCATTGCTAGAAATCCTATCTTTAAGTCGGTTTTAACGGAGGTTAGTGGTGGCAAGTGGCAATAAACCATTGAACTGCCTACTGAGAAAAATTGCCATTTAGATGGCGAGAAAAAAAAAGCTCGAGAGCATGCGACCGACTCCCAACACCCAAGAAGAAACTTGCTAGTAAGACCTGCAGACAGGAAAATGGTCGGAAGATGTAGGGAGGCCGAATGGTTCCAAGTGGCCTAGATTGGTCAGACATGCGATGATGAAGAAACAAAGGATAGAAAAGACGACATAATCATTCAACTTATTGCTACTTCTTGCGTTAGGGAGTAGGACGAGTGTGCGTATCACTAATGCATAAGTCATGGCCTCAGATCCGCTCAGCCAACGACAAATGCATGCATATGTGGCAACACAAATCCCATCGCACGAGGGTGTTGCTCTCCTGCCTTCAGTAGACGAAGTCAGCTAGCCGGGCGTCTTACCTTTTAACGTCAAAAGTCTCCATATGTTGGAGATAGAGGGATTAATCCATAAGAAAATTTCTTTTTTTAATACCTAACTCATTCCCCTTTAAAAGAGTTGATAAAACATGAAGTGCACAATATTTTTTTCATATGGATATACGTTTCTTTGGTCAGCCAATTATCCAATCGAAAGGCATGATTCATGATGCCTGTCTTTCGATTGTTTTGATGTAGTCCTATGGTATCTTCCTAGTGGGATCTATTAAATTTTCTTGAGATTCATGTGGTCATATGTTCAATGTACAATTAAACACATATCTTCAATTTAGAACACTGGTTGACAAAGTTCAACTTCCATACTAATGTCTAAAACCATAAAATAAAATAAAAAATGTTTACAAAAAAATAAAATAGAATGGCGTACATATTGAAGCACACCAAATAGCCCATAAGAAAAAAAAAAAATCGCTGTTTTTTGAAGCGACTGTCGAGTTCAAATTTCCCTCCCCAAAGCCCTGTGCTCCCTTGCTCTCTTTCTCTGACTCACTGGGAGCATTTTCTCATGAGGTACTAGTGAAACCCTAGTTTCCTGCTCCTATTGAACTCGTCGCTTCGATTCTGCTCCACTTTTTCTCCAATATTCTATAGGCAAAGGGGTCGTTCTTATGGAAATCGCATCACCTGATGCCGAGCGGTTTTCAGAGGACCAAATCGCGTTGGTCGACGAGGGGAGAAAGCTGCCAAGAGAAACTAATGATAAAAGGTAGACGCGGAAAACTCCTCAAACTATGCAGCTCTTATGGAATACGCTAGTAATGTTCACTCCTTTGTCTGATTTATTAAACTTAATTGCAAAGAAATGAATCCAATCCATGGAGAAGATTAAACGGTGGGCCGCTGAAGAGGACTAGCTGGAATCGATCCCTTTCCATAAGGTCAGCTTGGAGTTTATGTCATTCTTAGTTTCGATTGAATTTTTAACCTTCTTGTTTCAAGATTATGAATGAGAATTTTATAACAACGCTTCGTGATCGCTATTTTGTTGGCTGTGGTTATAAAGTTTGCCCTTAATGCTTATTTTAATTTTATCGCTTATTCATAGGGGAAGGGAAAGCATAATATTTGTTGGCGGCCTTGATTTGAGGACAAAACCAAAACAAAGAGGCGAGCGGAATAAAATAAAGCAGGTCTTGTTTCTCTACTAATATTATCTTAAAGCTTCTTTTTCTTTTTTGTTGAAGTTAGATTCTCTTGATTGGCACTTCAGTAAGATAGGATGATAGTCATTCTCTATGGCAACATACATGGTGTGTTTGCAGAAGAAAGCTTCGGAACAACTCTATGATTTCAGCAAGGAAAAGGCATATTTTGAAGAGGTTGATGCCTTTGAACTGTTGGAGGAAAGTCCTTCACCCAATAAGTTTACTTGGAAGATGGGTGCAGATTATAACTGCATGGAGCAGGACTTGACTGCCATTGTGGGTCGATGGAGAAGATCAAAGCTTTTTTCGGGACAGTGCACTGCATGGCCACTTTCTAAGATAATGGAAACAATACCAGCTCCCTCAAGTTACACTACTACTGATGGTTCTGTCAAGCATGGTGTTGTCCGTTCTCTATCACAGATCAGAGAAAATTCAACTTTTGAAGTGAGCGAGTGTAAATCCTATAGTGCAACAAAGAAATCTACGAAGGAGTTTCTCTCAGAGGTTGCCTCAAACTTTTCTATTGTCCCAAGGGGTATTTCTTTAGGAAGTGCTAATAAAAAATTGATTGAAGATTTGAGGGCAGATTCTGTTTTATCTTCCCTTAGTGCCCTCAGCATAAAACAAGAGGGAATCATCAATGATGAATGTGAAGGTGCAATGGCTTTCTCAAAGAACAAGACATGTAAGATGGTTAAGGCTGGTGGCATGAACGATTCAGGGGCCTTACCTGGAGAGTCATGTGGTGGGGAATCACTGACTGCATTTGAGCAACTTCTTATGGTTTGCAAGCAGTCATGTCCAATAAAATTGTCTGAAGTCTTCTTGGATTATTGGTAAATTCCTAGTTTTTTAATTAAAACTTTCATACACATTTATATGACTATTTTTTAAACAAGTCTCTAATCTCACAAGCATGAATATGTTCCCACGAATTTTTGAATTGTTAATTCACTCCTCTAGTAAATGCTGTAAATAAGTGTTTATTATTTCATTTAAGAACTTTATATAATGATTTGGTTTCAATAGTTTTTTTTCTTGTTTGATTCTCATTTGAATATATAAATCAACTAGCGAGCTCATTTTGATAATCAATTAGCAAGTTGCAGCTTCTAGATCATACAAAAAATACTTTAACATTTTGTTTTCTTGATTCTACGAATTTTAAATAACATATCCTTTGAATCTTTAAACATCAAGAGAGATTTCAGTTATTGCTTCCCACTTGAATTTTTTTTAACTAGATAAAAAATTATGTTGAACTTAATATTGGTAAGTTGTCGCTTAAACCCTTGATGACATGGGTTTTTAAATGGTTGGTTGTTTTCTTCACTAGACTTAGATATTAAACAACTCGAACCGATTCCATACAATCAAAGCCGATCATGAAGTAATCTTCATCTTTTGCCCAACCTGAACCAAACCAAAATTTGTAGAACTTGTATTTGCTCTATGTTTCTTAACTTTGACACACTATCATTTTTGTGGTATATAAATTAACTCACCAGTTATATACACTTAAATTATATCCTAGGCTAGTTCAATTAGTTTTGTTGAAAAGTATGAACTAGGTTCAAAGCTAGCAAACTAGGAAAGTTGAATACTTGAAAGTCACCAGAAGCATGATGAACTCAACATCTAGTTCAACTCGCTCAAAAACTATCCACTTGATTATACTCTCTTCAAAGATTGAATAAAGTCACTCATGCCATTAAGGTTGCTTACCCGACTTGCTAATGGTACTCACTAGCTTCGACTTGCCTTAATAAAGTTGGTCGGTTACTGCATGCAAACTCACCCCTTACTTGAAAATTAGCATTTGTACTCTATTTAACCAAATGATTATATATTAGCTAAGTTCATTTATAGCAAGCATTTATTAAGTTTTGCTATATAGTTTTATTTATGTTGTTTAAATGTAACTTTTCTTGCATCATTTTGCTTTATCCCTAGTTTATAAACAGGGAGTCAAATGGTGGGATAGATATTTTGAATGATTTTCTTAAGTTTTAGTACTTTTAACAAACAAGTAAAATCTTAGAGTTTCACATTTTATATTACCTTTTCTTTGATTTTTTTTTCTTTTGTTTCATAGTTATTTTTCTTAGTAAGGTTTTGTTGTTTACCATTTACAAATTTATATTCAATATTCTGTTAAGTACGGTGAGCATGGGGAGATGCTAAAGACAAAAAAATATGATTTGGAATAATATCAAGACATGGAGAGGTATTTTTTATTATTTATTTATCTATTTTTAGACAGTGAGGTTAGTTGCTTTGAAGTACCTAGACTCTGTTAGGTGTAAAAACTTAATCAGCCTTCTATTGGATTCTTAACAATGAGATTCTCTCCCGTCGTTTATTGTAAATGTTGCTAAGCTTTATGAAACTCAACATTAGGGAGGAAGGTTGAGCTTGACTCTTCTTCAAAATAGGAAACATCACTCACTATTTCTTCAAAATAGAAAACATGACTCACTACTTGAACTTGTTAGAAAGGACGCTAAAAGAGAAGTGTCAAATGAAGTGAGAAAATATGAAAATGCGAATGATTCCTTAAAGTGATATCTAAAGCTTTGATACCCTATTTATTAAGAAGTTTGAAATTCTTGGTTAGTGGTCAAATTAAAACCATTTTATTTTGTTTCAAATTTGAAAACAGAAAATCTACAAAAGTTTAGCAAAATAAATTCATCATTTCAATGACTTCAAGAAATAATATGATCCGTCCAACCCAATTTAATGGTTGATTTTGATATTAAAAGTGTACAAAATACAATGACTAATAAAATAGACTAAAATAAATTGCTAGTAAAAGATTGAAAAGTAATTTATCATTTCAGTAAAATAGTTCTAATACATCCAAAGAAAATAGAAGTACTAAATAAAGAGTTTCATTACAAGTAATACAATTTACCTCTTTTAGCAATTAACAACTTTTGTTGAGGACCTGAAATTGATCTTTCTATGATATTTTCTCTGGTGAAACAAAGCCAAGTTAAAAAACGAATCAAGTGTAATTTCTTGAGGCATGGATTAATGCTGAATTAATTGTTAGAAAATAATAATGAACCGTCAAAGCCAATTTAATGGTTGATTTTGAGATTAAAAGTATGCAAAATACAATGACTAATAAAATATATAAAAAAAATTTGCTAGTAAAAGATCGAAAAATAATTTATCATTTTAGTAAAATAGTTCATAATACATCCAAAGAAAATAAAAGTGACAAATAATGAGTTTTATTACAAGTAATACAATTTACCTCTTTTAGCAATTAAGAACTTTCATTAAGGACCTGAAATTGAGCTTTCTTTGATAATTTATCTGGTGAAACAAAGCCAAATAATAAGTCAAAAAAAGAATCAAGTGTAATTTCTTGAGGCGTGGATTAATGTTGAATTAATTGTTAGACAACAAACTAATTTCCCGCAAAAAAAAAAGAAAAAAAAATAAAATCTTCTAAATAAGTCTAGACTTTGGTTTTTAACGTGACCTCATTACTGAGGTTGTGAGCAACTTCTTCTAAATCCAAAGAGAAGGTTAACTTATAAAAGCTTCATGCTTGTTCTCTATTAAAGTCGAATAATTTACTTCAACCTTGATATAAGTTCTGATTTTTGCAAGTTGATGTAGAAAGTTAACTTTATCTGAGTTGGCATGATCTTGACTGGTGTTAATGAAAGACTTAAAAGAATAAACTCAGTCATTAAATCATTAAGTTTTTGGACAAAAAAAAAAGTCTTATTCTCATCTCGAGTAGTGATTGTAGCCAAACTATGCACCTTAAGGCTATGGTACAATGAAGTATTATTATTCATATTATTTTTCCTTCAGAAGCCACTTCAATAAATTTAACAACTAAGGCCATATTTTCAACTTTCCCTGGAAAATTTTAGGTGAAAAATCTCTGGCTAGTGCTCTTAAGAGAAAGTAATAAAGAGCTCGGTCTTTATGTGTGAACAAAATCCAGAAATGAGAGCCAATCCAAAGATTGGTTCTGAAAACTTGAAATGATAACTGAACAGAGTACATGTACAGCTTTGTTAGAATTGGTTGTTTCATACATTTGTACAAGTCAATGTTGCCACATTTAATTGATAGCGTATTGGAAACATTTTCTCATGAAAATATTCAGATTTTGTTCTTAGTTTAAAAATGGCTTTTGTGGAGACAGTGATGCTAGCAATATAATAAAGCTTGGTGAAGGCACATATGGCGAGGCTTTTAGAACTGGTGAAACAGTATGCAAGATAGTTCCCATTGACGGTGATTTGGTTGTTAATGGAGAAGTCCAGAAGGTTTGCAGAGCTCTTTTTTAGCTTTTTTTACAGTCGACCTTTTTTCGTGTTAATGATGCTTTTGCTCTCTCTCTCTTCCTTTTAGAAATCTGAAGAAGTGTTAGAAGAGGTCTTGCTTTCCTTAACGCTAAATTCTTTGAGAGAGCAGCATGAATATGGAGAAAAGCTAAATTCGTGTGCAAATTTTATTGAGACCAAGGAGTATGTTGATATTTTTCTTGCCTAATCTCACTATTCATACCCCGTGCAATCATTTTGTTTAGCTCTCTGTAAACATTGTCTTAATTCCTTACAGTTTTAGAGTATGTCAAGGCTTGTACGATACACACTTAATTAGAGCATGGGAAGAGTGGGATGCCAAAAATAATTCTGAAAATGATCATCCTTGTGCATTTCCTGACAATCAAGTTGTTTTCAGACTCTAAGACATTAATTTTGACAACTGTCCTATGTTAATGATAGAATTTGAAAATCTCTATTTCCTAAGCAATAGTAACTCTTATTTCAGTGCTACATTGTGTTTGTATTAGCTGATGGTGGAAAGGATCTTGAAAACTCTGTCCTTAAAAAATTTAATGAGGCTCGAAGTTTACTTGTGCAGGCAAGCAATTTGTTAACCCTCTCCTCTCACAAAATTGTTTTGGTAAACATTTGCTTTTCATGTGAAGGCAGTTCCATCTTTCTCGTTGTAGGTTACCGCTTCATTAGCTGTGGCAGAAGTTGCATGTGAATTTGAACATCGAGATTTACACTGGTAACAATTTGCTTTTGAAACTTCCAAATGATTCATTTCATTTTGCTTTATTGTTGCCTACGAATACCATTTACCGCTAGTGAATTAAATAAAAAATATTACTTGTAGGGGTAACATTCTTTTACGTCGTAATGGGGCCACAATTGTTAATTTCACCCTCGAAGGGAAAAAAATGAGTGTAAATAACTTTGGGCTGGCAGTATCTATAATTGACTTCACACTTTCTCGTATCAACACTGGTAATTTTTCTTTCACAATATCTTTGTGCAATTTATTGACAAACTTTATGTTTTTGTTCGTTAGTTTTTTTATTTGAAAAAACTCTATTTAGACCTTGGATGCAATACTTGTATTGACCATTTTTTACCATTAAACACAATCCTTAGAACATAAGAAGATTTTGCATCATTTAGATGGTTGCGGAATTTGCCGCATCATTTATTGCGTTACCGTATCAGTGATTTTCCTTTATGAGAATTGTGATGGTCTGATTACTCGAGTATTTTAAAGAAAGTCAGTATATTTTCTCATGTTATGAAATCTGTAAAGTTATGAACTTTTTTGTCAATACTAGCCACGAAGGAATTGCTCAGTAATCATTACAACCTAGAAGCCTTGATATTGCATATATGCAAATTTGATTAGGGTTGGATTCTTTAATAGTTCTGAACTTTTGCCAAAGGCCTTCTTTTATTAATCTTTTCATGTGTTATTATATTAATGTGTTAAAGAAAATTAAGATTAAGTGACAAAAGTAAAATAAGATTAAGTGAGAAAAGTAGACGGAATAAATTTGGAGCGTTGGGCATGTAGGGTCATGAGATTTACACCTGCATCTAGTTTGAGAATATGATATTCCATGAAGATTTGTGTCTGTTAATTTCTTTTATGCTTCAAATAGAGAAAATTATACTGAGAAATAGGCCAAGGAGCAAGCAAGAATCCTTTTCATGGACTTAGGTCTGAGTTATTTGAGCTTTGCTGTTTACAGCATAACGTGTACTGCATGATTAGATTTTGCATGACCACAGGAGAAGCTGTACTATTTCTTAACCTTTCAGCAGATCCTGAACTCTTCAAGGGTCCTAAATTGAATATACAGGTGAGAAGCAAGTTAAAGTAGCTCTAGATGTTTAAAATTAAGCCCCATTCTATTGTCTATTTGTCTTTTTGGCAGTTCGAAACATATAGAAGGATGAAAGTAGTCACTGGAGGATGCTGGGAAGAGAGGTATGTCTTTGCTCTATATTCTGGTTATGTCTAACACAAATGATTACCTCAGTTTCAATCAGTTATGATCTGCTGTCATTAAATCCTGATACTTATGAATGGTTCCACTAAGTCAGTTTCGTCCCTGCCTATGCTTGAAGAAACTTTACATGGCATTGAATAGATGAAATAAAAAGTATATTATTTTACTGATGTAATATATTGCTAAGGAGCTTCCCCAAGACCAATGTTCTTTGGCTAATGTATCTTGTTGACATTTTGGACAAGAAGAAAATCTTTGTAAGTGTTTAATTTGAAAATGTTTGCCAGCAAAACCCAAAAGCTCCACTGATTGCCTGCAAAATCTTCATTTTTTTTTCCAGGATCGGACGACAAAGGATGTGAGAGATCTTAGGTCATTTAAAAGGCGTTTGAACAACTATGAATCTGCTAAGGATTCTCTGTCTGATCCATTCTTAAGTGAACTTCTTTTACCTTCAGGTTACATTTCCAGAGATTTGTAACTTCATTACATTCTGGAAAGAATAAACTTTCAGCATTTGTTCCAAAACAAATTAATTTTTTTTATGATTTTATGGTTTTATTCCCTCAGGTATGATGAATAGTTATGACTTGGTGACATTAGTTAAAGCCACCTAATGTGACTAGAAGGGAGTTCCTCATTCCTCCCTTTGAAGCTAGAGTTTCAAGAAGGTTTTTTATTTGATTTGCTAATTAGATTATGAAACGGTGAGTTAATTAGGTGTGCAACTGTTTAATTTTTCTTAGAATTGCCAATGTATTCTTTACATAATGCACACATTGAAAGCTAAAAATTATTACAGAATACTATATATAAATTTAATGACAAAATATTTAGAACACATATACACAAGGCTATAAGGTATAGGTTGAATTAATCAAGCATATGAGTATAATTTGTAGAACACGATACTAGTATAAAACTCAATAATAAAAGCAATTGCAATTTTTTGCCATCACTAAAATTATCACAAAAATTCACATATAACATAAATTATGGTGATCAGAATATCATTGAAATTATATGAGCATAAATTTTGTCAACATAATTGTAGTATTAACTCTTATTTTAGATTCACCACAAATGAACATCCAGAAGCATAAAATATGTGAAAGCTAAGTACAATATAGTTAATCTAGCAACAACGGTTTACAAGTATGCTTGTGTTTTGATGCTCATTTGGCCTAAATTCTTGCCAAGACCTCAACTCATCTGGGATTCTCATTTTGATTTTATGAGCTTATGTTGGACTCGTGATTTTGATGATAACAATTATATTTAGGGTTGTAATTGAGCTAAGACAAGCCAGTATGTCGTGGGTTGGATTTCGTTTGATTATATTATTAGTTGTTCATGTTTGTCTCGAGCTCAAGCAAGCTTTTATATATATTAATATTTAATTTGTTTTAATTTTTAAATAATCTTAACTTAGCATGTACTTACTCATATTAATTGAACGAATAACTTAATAAATTAATGAATAAGCTAAATATTTGAATCAATATATCAATTTTTATCTGAAATTGTTAATAAATTATTTAATAAATTAAACAAATAAACAATTGAATAAAATTTGTACTCGTATTTAAGTAGTTTACGCTAACTAAAAAAGTTGCATATAAGTGAATGTTTTATTTTAATCAAATAATGTAGATGAGTACCAATTATTTCATTGAAATGAAAGAATAAAAATGTACTGAATTAATATGCATATTGATGTTAAATTATGATATGTTATTGTTAATTATAAAATCAGATAAAAACCTTTACTTAAAATGAAAATCAAAGTAATAAAGTTTTGTGAAATTAGCTATTCAATTCATACCACAAGAAACTTCATCCCCAGCATGCCACCTATGCCGAAACCTAAGCATCTTGGAATGCAAAATTGTTGGTTTAATATATGTTTAGCGTAGGAAAAATTGTAAAGGAATAGAAAAAAAAACCTAATTTCAGAGCTTCCGTTGTTTTATTTCAAGTTTAAAATAGGTTTAACATATGTTTTCTTTATTAAATAATTGATCATGCTACACTCAAATGAATGTCACTAAAGATCAATTTTATTTGCTGCATAGAATACTGGTAAAATTTATCTCATTAAAATAGAAGCCGGCCCCTTTTTTTTCTTGTACAATGAAATCTTAGTAAAAAAACAAAAAATTGTTCTCAACAAGTAGCATTCATAGAATATTCAAACTTTATAATATGGAAACTATGATGTCACTAGCAATCAAATCTTAAATTTAAGGCCAATAAATGCAACCATCTCAGAGACCTTGTTTATAATAAAAGCATTATGTTACGCCCAGCATTATGTTTCGCCCTGTTCACCTCAATTACAACAGAAGCAATATAGTAGGAAAAAAAATTACAAGATCATACTCTTTGTTCACCAAAACAAGAAGATGTTCGTATAACTTACCAAGTTACCATCAAAACAAACAAAAGCATATGTGGTAGCCAATAGTACAAAAAATTCAAGAATAAACCAAAATGTACTGAAGCGTATAATTATTTGTATATTTTTGGTGTAAAATATAATATATTTTATTAATAGATGCTTTAATATGCATGTTAAGATTTACTTTAAACCTACATATTATTTTATAAATATTTTGCGAAGAAACAAATAAATATATATATATATATACACACACACACACACATTGGGGAAGGAGCGTTATAAAGCTCCGTGTCTATTTCATCGAAAAGAAGTTACAAAAAGAGGAGGAGAGGTAGATCCCCACATATAAAAAGCCAAGAAAATACAGTGTACTCACTCATAACAGTACACTCATAACAGTACAACTCCACCAACAACTCCACCAAAAAAAAAAAAATAAATAAACACCAAAAAAAGATTACAATTATACCCAAACAATCAAAAGAAGAGTAGAAAACTAATACTGAAGAATAACTCAAAACAGTTGTTGAAGCAGGAACTGGTAGAGCACGAGCTAGAAGAACTCTGTAAATAGCATTGGGAAACAATGGCAGAGGCCTCCATTCGACACTCATCAGTAGCACAAATGAGGAAACAATGAGTAGGAAATCCCAGCCGCAACTGATAGTAGCCAGAAATGGAAAACCAACAATCATAGTTATAATAAACATAGTAGCATGGAATAACGGCGTGCAGTAATAAGGAGATACAAACACTGTAAATGGATAACAAAGACTTAGAACCAATGAAGTTAATGAGGGTGTTCTTGTAAGATGTGAAGAAACCAATTTAGTTTTGAATTGGGAAAAATGTCAATTCATAATTTTAGAAGGCATTGTCTTAGGATATAAAATTTTTGAGAGAGGTATGGAGGTAGATCTACTAAAAAGTTAAGTCGTAGAGAGACTTTCTCCACCCACTTCTATGAGGGGATTTAGAATTTTTTGGGATATACTAGGCTCTATCGATGATATATTCAGAATTTTTCTCTCTGCCATTTATTAGAAAAAGATGTCTTATTCGATTTTGATCAGGATTGCTTAACTGCATTTAAATGGCGATCATGTTAGGATGATCAATCAAATCCAAAGTGGGTGATCAACACATAGCAATCGATCAAAGTCAAGAGATAGGATGATAGACATGGGACAACCGGTCGCCCAAGTGGGTGATCGACACATAGAGATCGATCAAACTTGAGAGATAGGGTGATCAGCCTGAGGCGGCCGATTGAACCTAAGATGGGTGATTAACACATAACAGCCGATTAAACTCAAAAGATATGTTAGACGATCAATCGAACCTAGGATGGATAATTGACACGTAGCTGTCTATCAAACCCATAAGATTGGGTGATCGGCCCAGGATGACTAATCAAACTCCAAAGGATCGGTCAATTGTGAAGGGGTGTCCGATTGAATCAAAGTGATCATGCAATCATGCAAAAATGCCACAAATGAACATATTTAAAAATGCAACAAGATGATCCATGCATATGCGATGCAACCCAACATGTTTGACGACACGCCAAACTCATCCTAATGATCTCACATGGGTATTAGTGTTCAACACTTTGATGTGTGACATATCCCCTTTGGCTTTGGCATGGAAAATGTGGAGGATTTTTCTCTCACATTTCTCATAGGGAAAGTCCTGCACCAATTGTAGGGCAAACTAGGTATAAAGCTTTCTCCATCCTATGAATCTGGTGATCTCGCTGGATGGGCTAGGCACAATGCTTTTCCCATCCTTCAAGATCTAACTCTCCAACAACTTCAAGGAAGGTTGGAAGCACCAAAGCTGTGGGAAATTAGGATTCAAACAAATTGGAATTTTACTTTAAGGCTCACAGAGGGGAATCGCTCGGCTCCAAGTAGGTCTTGGCCTTGCATGAGATTCCTAACCTAGGGCTACGTCTAAGAGATTAACGACTATTAAAAGGGAGCGTGGTTGTGCTGACTATTGACAATTGGCCACGCTCGCCAGTGTGGGTGGCCCTAACCCATAATGAAAAACTGAGACTAACCTAGGGTTGGCTAAGAGTTAGAGAATCTCACCACCGCTAAGGTTGCAGACGTGTTTCTTCTTTTATCGGTAGGAGAGAAGCTCACGATTCGGCAGCGCTCTAGTAATGCTCCGACAATCCTTATTTGAGCTAGGAAGAAACTATCCTATAGTAAAGGAGGGTGGATTCCTTGCGTCCAAGTCTTTTTTTAAGAAAACTCTCTCACACCCTCATGAAATGTGGAGGAAAATAAGGGAAATGGGGGGCATAAATAAGGAAGAAGAAGATGAAGGAGGGGAAGAGAAACCCCTCCTCCTTGCTCTCTCTCCAAGAAGCCTCTCTCATGGACCTTTGATTACTCTCCCAAAACTCTCACAAAAGCTTTTCCAAGCTCCTTTAGCCTGCTGATGATTAAGGAGAGGGAAAGCGAAAGCGACAAACCTGATAGGCGTCGAAAAGTGTCGTTGGGTGGGCAGGGGGTGAGGGTTTCCTCTAGGTTTAAGCCAGTACACGCTAGAAAGTGACCAAAAAGTTCCCACTAAAACTCCTAGAATGCTTCTAGATGAGGGAAAAAGGAGTATTTTCTATCCCACTTTTCCCATCCATAAGGTTCATCATCATGATGGCTGCCTCGGAAGTCAAATCTAGGTAAAAAAATTGGCTAAATTTTGTCACCCGAGAAGTAACCAGCTCCTAGGAGCCTGGTTCCTAGTGCCTAGGTGCCAGTTTGGAACCATGGTGTCAGGCTCCTGGTGCTTAGAAACCAGATCTGGTGCCCAGCCGACGCCGGACTTACCACTTCTGGGTAAGAGGTAAAATTTTAGATTGTTTTGGGCTTTTAGGTGCTCAGAATGGTGCTTAGGCACCTGAGAAATGACTCCAAACTTCTAACAACTTCTTTTAGATGTCCAGGAAGGCATGTTGGTTGCATGGGCACTAGGGACTAGCGTGTAGGCGCTGGTCTAGCCCCAAACCCATACTTTTCAGTAGGAATGCCAAATAGAGAACTTTTCAATCTCTGAGCTACGACAGACTCCATATGCATTAAATTTGGTCTTGCAACTCTAGAATTGAGTATTCTCATCAGGCATTCACTGGGAAAATCATTTCAAATGGCGGTCCTAAGCCACGGCGTGGGTAGGGTGTCCCAAACCCTAATTTTTATGTAGCACATGTAAAAGGATCTTGTGGCTTACTTTGGCCATGGGAGGCTCCAGATGGACATGTGGTGACGTATAAACATCATAATGAGTACTAAAC